TTTTTTTTCACATCTTATTTCATCGATCTGACAGCAACAACAACAAAAATAATAACAAATAACAACAACGACGAATAATAGTAATATTAGTACCGACATTAATATTAATATTATGAATAACAGTAATAATATTGCTGTTATTATTCATATTGCCATTACAAAAACAATATTAGTACTAAAAAAAAATGAAAAATTTTGAGGCAAAACGACTAAAATAAGATGCACACTTAAAAACTATTAAATAATGATTTTTAAAAAACAAATATCTTTCAAAAGAAAATTTACACTGTTCTTTCCCTTCCTCTATTTTTTTTCACCTAAAATTTTTTTATAACCCGTAGTTTAGTGACAAAAAAAAAGAGAAAAAAGACGAAAAAAGACAAGCAAACTCCTCGCTAAGTTAAAAAATTTTTGAATATAAATTTATTTCAAAAATATTCTTTCTTGATGCTTATCATACAGCTTAACTTCATCCTCTACCAGTGTCAAGTGTCCTTCTCCACTACACCAGTAAATAAATGGATCGCCGAATTATCCGTCCTATACTCAACAATCTAACCCCTTTCCTCTCCCTCTCCACAAAAAACATTGACCCCCTAAAAGAGGCCAAATACCATTATCACCAGCAACCAAAAACTAGATTCTTTTATTTAACACTTCTTCAATCGAATCACATCTCAACTGGTAATAAGTATCCAAAAGCAAGAAAAAAAAATTATAAATAAAAGAAAAAAAAGTAAATTTGAAGAAAAATAGGAGGACTATTGTTTTACCTTTTCGAGCTCCAATAAATGAAATCGTAACACTTGGATGGCTTGTAACATCTAAAAAATGACGCTTTGTTAACAGATGGCAATAAGTATAGACCACAAATATGGTCACAAACCACATAAATCTCAAGCACACTTACTAAAGTATCCAATTCCGGATTTGGTACATAATACTGCTTATCTTTTGCCTGTAAAATAACCACATCATTAGTCACCTTTCCAGTATCCAAAAAAGAAACCATAAAAAATAGAACAAAAAAGAAAAAAGTTAAAACAGTAGATGACCAAAAGTCCGGAACAATAATTCCACAAAATTTGATAAGAATAAAATATGAAAATTTTGTTCGCGGCTGCAAACCAAAACCTTTACCAGGCCCACTTCAACAGTGATGAGTAAACCCAAGCAAAAAAAAAAGGTAAACAAAATTGGGCTAAGACCTTCTTAACAATTTGTTTTTATCCTTTGATAATGGAATTGTATTTTTTCTGTTTGTCTTCAATTTGCAATTTATAACAAAATTTTCTTGTGCAATAAAACGGTACAAAGATGATGAAGTTAAGCAAAGAAGAGGCA